AATAATTCCCTCCTTAAAACTAAGGAAATGAGACAGGCGGTCCTACAAGTGTGTCAAGAATATAACCCGGACACACACTCATTCCCAGAACTGCTAACATCACTATCTAAGGCTTCTGCTATAGTGGCTAGGAGGCTCGCGACAAAGAGGAAGGAAAGAGAGGAAGAACTGACGCGAGCAATAGAGATAGCAGAGCGCAATACTATTCTTCGACCAGGGGACGAAATATATGAAACAACATTAGAGATGGCAAGAGGAGAGATGGTGGAATGGCAACGCTGGAAAATGAAAGACTTAAGAATGAGAGCTAGAATCAAAGAATGGGAGGAAGGGGAGAGAATGACCAAGTTCTTCTTCCAAAAAATCAAGACTAGGGGCAGGAACAATCTCATAGAGAGCTTAGAAGGGGAAGGGGGGCCGACTTCCAACAAGGAGGGGTTGTTAAGGGTGGCCTTCGACTTCTATAGTAAACTATATACATCAGTGGAAGACCAGTTCCCTAAGCCTAAAGTTGAGGAGGCGAGATCAAAGTTTCTGAATTATCTTCAGAACACAATTTCACGAAAGCATGCTGCCATGCTGGACGAACCCTTAACACAGGAGGAGTTATGGGAGGCACTAAAAACGATGACCCCAAATAAAACCCCTGGGAAAGACGGCCTGACTAGAGAATTCTGGCTAGAATTTTGGCCAATTTTGGGAGAGGAATATGTTTCCTTTCTCGAACAGGCATGGCAGGATGAGGGTATAGGGAGCGAGCCCGCAACGGGGATACTCACGCTGCTTTACAAAAAAGGGAGTCCAACAGACATACGAAATTATAGACCAATAACTTTGTTGACTCTCACTCACAAAATAGTAGCCAAGGCGCTAGCTAATCGCTTATCCAAAATCACGGCGGGTTGCTTCCATCTGGATCAAACAGGATTCATACCGGGTAGGTTTATTTTGGACAACGTCATGTGCCTAACAGAATCGGTCCGGTACATAAGGGACAAGAGAATCAACACCGCCATCCTTTTTTTCGATTTTGAAAAGGCTTACGATCAGGTCAGTTGGCCTTTCTTGCAGTTGTGCATGGAAAAGATGGGAGTAGGGCCGAATTTTAGGAAGTGGATCAGGGTCTTATACAACAATGCACAAGGACAAGTACAGATAAATGGTCACTTATCCTCGACCTACCCGATGTCAAGGTCGGTTAGGCAAGGAGACCCCTTAGCTGCTCCTATCTTTCTCTTCATAATGGAGGCAATAGCCTCCTTTCTGAGAAAGGACCCGTCAATAGAAAGACTAACAGCTCCACCAGACCAGCAAGGACACAAGGTGGTAATCCCCACGACGATACTGTTCGCGGATGATTTGACAGTCTTAATCAGGGCAACAGACTCCTTCCAAGCGCTAACAAGAGCTATGGAAGCCTTCCAACTGGCTTCAGAAATGAAAATCAACTGGCACAAAACAGTGGGTTGGTGGATGGCAGAGCTAGACCAACAGTACCGGATACCTGTCACTAGCCCGGAGGGGCTTCAATGGATGTCACCACAACTACCGCTCCGATACCTAGGGATCAAAATAACAGAAGAGGGGTCTCACCAGTCGATGGCTGCAGACATAATGGCCAGGATGTTAGCAAAGTTCGGGGCTTGGTCGACAGTGTACACCTCTATATACGGAAGATCACTGATCTTGAACGCATCGATCCTTTCCATGATGTGGTACGCGGGGTCAATTTGGACTTCCCCCAAGGCCACATCGACCCAGCTTAGGAGAAAGGCAGCAGCCTTTTTGTGGACAGCGAAGCACAACACGGAACATTTCATAACCAAGGTGGCATGGAAAATGGTAACCAGAACCAAGGGTCAAGGCGGCCTAGGCATCCTAGACCCAAGTCTACAGCTGAAGGCTTTGCAAACAAAATGGGTGGTCAAGCTAATCTCACAGCCTAGGTTATCATGGACTTCATTAGTATTGGAAAGGATCAGGCAGATAGCTATGTACAAAACACCTGGCAATATGACGGGTCTATTCTGGATCATGTGTAGCAACTGGGCTAAAGTGGGCTATAGGAAGGAGAACAGGGATGCACAAGGTGGGAGGGCTAGAAACCCCTCTTATTGGCCACAACTAATACAGCTGTGGAAGGAGGTCTTCCCAGCAAGGGTCAGAGAACCTACTACAAGGGAGGAGGTACTAAGACAACCGATTTTCTGCAATATCTGCTTAGGGACGGTGGCGGAAAACCTCTAACACTTACGAGTAAGGACTCAAGATGGGGCAGATGGGTGAAGCACGGGATATGGCAGATCAAACATATTTGGGATGATGAGAACAAACGGTGGAAAACAGCAGGGAAATTGAGGAGAGCATTGAAGGGGTGCCACAATCTCCAGGACAATCTGAGAATAGTCACAGACTCCATACACCCAACCTGGGTACTACTGCTGAGAGAGGGAAAGCAAAGGCGAGAGGGGGATTGGGCCACATGGGAGGATGATCCGGAACCTAAACAGGTCTTCAGGGTATGGGACACGGACAAAGATAGGAATGAATGGCTAGTAGCTGATAAAGACGACATAATACAGCCGAGTAGTACCACTTCCCAACTGGACAAGTCCTCCAAAGCACCATTGTATATTCTCAAACAAGGGTTACAGAAGGTAAGAGTGATAGAAATGGATGAGTATACAGTGTACAGTTCAACAGTACCAATCGAGGATCTAGAGGTCGATCCTGGAGAATGGGCCTGGAACATTAGAGATGGACAGTCAAGAGTAGCAAGAAGAATCAACATTCTCCAATATACCACAAAAATGGGGTATAGACTGAGGAGCAGATCCAGGTCCATGGGTCACACTCTGACCAAACGCTGGGAGAAGAAAGTAGGGATCCCCAGGAGCCTAATGCCTGATATACCGTGGTCTAACATCCTATCTATTAGACTGGGTCAGGTACTACCAGTGAATGTGTGGCTCAACGAAAGAAGAAGTCACAATCAGAGAAATGAGGAAGCGGAACTTTGCAGGGTGTGCCAAGACGGCCTTCCGGAAACTTTGGTGCATTGTCTACTGGAATGTAAGGAGGCAGAAGAATGTGGGAACAAGTTAGGGGGATCTGGAAACAGGTAGTGACGATAGCCTTTCCAGAGTCAAAGATTACCAGGCTTTTGGGGGTCGGGGTTCCCAAAGGATGGCAACCCTACCAGAGGCACATCTTTCAACTGCTGAGACAATATGGACTGTGGACCGTTTGGAAAAGGAGATGTCAGGCAACTATGGAAGGAACACTAACTCATAGGGAGGAAGCTAGAGAACTGCTACTCAATACAGTGGAATCACATCTCAACGCACAGTGGAAAAGGGTGAGACAGCAAGCTAGACAACAACCTGGGCATGAGGAGGAAATAATCAGAAAATTTAAACAGAATACTTTGGGCCAGGGGAAAGTAGCAGAGCCCAGAGGCGTACAGCTTTGCTTCAAATGGAGAGAGGAGGGATGAGGATATCAGGGAACAGAAAGGGAGGAGGGCTAAAGGAAAGAGAGGAAATCATCCCTAAGTGGCCTTGGAAAACATTAAAGGAACTGTTTTGAGTTCACCAGTAAGACCTCCCTTGAGTCATATGGAAGGTAAGATGCAGCAGAACGATTGAGGAGGCGGTAAGCGCACGGGAGAGAGTCTGGGTAGAGACTAAGGTTTTGATACAGGCAGAAATTCAATGCAGATGGAAGAAGATCAAGAAAGGGACAGACGACGAAGAAAGCAGGCTAGAGACAAGTTCATCAAGTCATGGTGGCAGGGGGGAAGGCTGCTGAGAGGAGGAATGATTCCATCTGGAGGAAGGAGTGGCACACCATTGTCTCAAGAAGAAATCTGGAACAGCACAGCATAGTATCAGGGAGCGGAACCCTCGATTCAGATTCTAACTGAGTCAGTTCTGCTTTCGGATCTCTGCCCTTGAGCTACAGCAGAGGGGAATAGGATGCAAGTTGGTAACGCAGGTGAACAAGGGAAGTAAAAGGGTCAAAGTAAAGAGCCACGGAGCAATGAGGAAAGTGATCCTTGAATGGGAATGTTATATCGGGGTGCAGTTAAGAAGGACGAGGGTTTAGGGTTCAGGGTTTAATGGTTGCTTAGGTAAAA